GAGTGTGCCTGCGAAACCCCCAAACCGTGTGCAATGGCTGGCCCTGCCTGCCCCGGAACAGGAGCCACCCAGCCCTGTTGGGGCAGGGACGTCAGCCCTGTCTGCGGCATTTCCTGGGGGCCGTAGAGCAAGCACATGGTTCAGGCTGGCAACTTCAGAGACCGGCCTGTAGCCCTGGCGTCAGCAGAGTGGCAGGTGGCCAGCACGGAGACTGGGGACATCGGGTTGCCGCACAGGTGCCCAGCAAATGCCCCAACCAATGGAGGGCCAGCATGCCTCAGACCCGTCTGGAGGAGGAACTAAAACACACAGCACCCAGCTAGTCCTGGGGTTCCTGCTTCTGTGGGGCAGGGGACAGGGCAGGAGAACGTGGGTCCTAACATGGTTCCTGGTGAGGCCACAACGGCCTGCCCGGGGACCCTCTTCGAGAACGGCTGGGGTGGGTTAATTCTGTCAGATGGAAATCTGCCAGAATGTTAGGATGTCCGCACCTGCGGAGTAATTAACTCTAGGGCTGGCCACAACCTCCGGGGTTGGGTAGCTGGATCCACCTGGTGGACCGTGGTTCAAATCCTGGCCCCAGTGGCTTGAAAGACACCCCAGGCATGTGCACGTGCTCAGAGCCCCGCCTGGATGGAGAGGTGGAGGAGAAGGGATTGCAGCACGCCCATGCCGCGCTGGATGTGTTTTCTGCACCTCCTGTCTCTCTCTCTGCCAAGTGCCATGTACCCCCTGGTAACTGAGAAACAAAACAAAGAAACAGGCATAATTGGAGAACTCCAGCTCGTACTGCGCCCAGAGTTGGTGGTTTCTGTTTTAAATGAAAGCCGGTGGCGTGTCTCAGGAATGCTGCGTTCCGAGAGCGGGGTCTGAAGAAGCCGCTGGGGCAGGCCCGGCAGCGGCCGCACCTGGGAGTGGTTCTTCGTTCTCTGTCTCCATGTCTGAGACGTTTTGTCTTTTTTTTTTTTCTTTAGAGATTTTTGCTATGGGGCACATGTGTTCACCAGAGAGACAGACAGATAGACTGAAAGCAAGAAATCACCCCCCCCCCGGGGGGATGGCCACGCCACAATCCCTTCTCCTCCAGTTTCCTCTTGAGATTTTGGGCACGCACACACGCCTGGCATGGGTTTTAAGGTGCTGGATCCTGGACTCAAACCGTGGTTGTCTACGTGGGAGTCTAGCAACATGACCAACGCCATCTGCTGGTCCCTCAAAGTCAGTTTTAATGAGCAGAAAGCCAGAGCTGGAAGTTAACCTCTGGTCCTTCCTGGAGGAGGGGGCTGCTCCCCACACCTGCTGACCTGGGCAGTGCTGTACACACAGTACCCACCTGGGCTTACCGCCCTGTTGCTCATCATCCGTGGAACATTCGAGTCTGTCCCTCCCATCGCTGTTGACAGTCTGTGAGGGTGAACTCCTGAGTCCCTAGAGGTCCTGGAGACAGGGAGGAAGGATTCTGGTTGTGATCGTTAACCTCCCTGCTTCCCTGGCCCGGCCCTGCTCCAGGCTTCACCAGCTCCCCTCAGGGAGCCTCCTCAGGGCTCTCCTCACCTGTGCCCCGGCCTCCATGCCTCTCCCCGTCATGGCGTGCCTCTGCTCCAAACTCTCTGGCCTCCATTCTAATTCCACAGAAAAAGGCACACCCTTGGGAGACCCTGTGTGGCCTGGCACCGCCCCCTCCCATGAAGACCCCTGACCATTCACTGCTCCTGGCCGGGGTGACCACTTCCCCTCAGCCTCATTCTGGCTGGCCAGGCCCGCTGCCTCAGGGCCTTAGCATCTGCCGTGTCCTCCATGCCCGCCCTGCGAAGGCACTACGCCCCCTCCTGGCTGCCACTGGGAAGTGTCCATGCAGGCCTGCGCACAGCCCTGCTCAGATAGTACCTGCCCGCTGTGCACTCCCGCTTGGTGCCTCACTCCCACACTCGCCACGTCTCCCCCTCAAAAAAGGAGCCCCCGGGGCAGGATTTCTGGTGCACAGGACACCCCGCCACGGGCACGCCAGTACTCACGGAGAGACGAGAGAAGCCGTGTGTGCAGAGCACTTTGCTGTGTGTGGCCCCGTCCGAAGCGCGTTACATTTCAGCCCTTTCATCCTCGCCACAGCTCTGCAGGGTGCACCGTTGCCACCCCACCCACCGCCACGCTCGGACACGTAGGCAGTGTCGCTGTGCTGGGCTGTGGAGGGAAGCGGGACCATAGGAGATGGTCTCTGTGGAGATCCCTTACCCCGCCTGCAGCGAGAGGCCGGGATGCAGACGCCACTGCCCAGTGTGTGCGGGTCCATCTGCTGTGGGCCGGCGAGGGGTACCTGCCTGCAGGGTGGGGACCCGAGGGCCCTGGTGTTGCAGACTCTCTCCCTTCCTGGGCTCTCATCTCCCTCCCGGCCTGCAGCTGACCGGCCGAGGCCCACTCCACATGGACATTAGTCTCTCTTGCATCCGGGCTGCTGATTTTGCCCCCCCAGGTCTCAGGAATAAATGCCCGCACAGTGGCGGGGTGCGGTCACCAGCCCAGGCCCCTGGAGCAGCCCTGGCACCAGCTGATCTCACTTTATCACCAGGGCATGTCCTAGCGGTCCTGGTGGGACAGGAGGGCGGGGGCAGCCCACAGGGCTTCAGTGCACGAGGTTCTCCAACTTGACCACCCAAGCCCTGGGGTGGCCGCCGCCTCCTGCAGCCAGCCAGCCGGGAGGCGGCCAGCGCGCCGTCCCCTCCACTCTCCAAGATGCTGTTCTTGCCCTGCCTTACACGTAGGCTGCAGGAGGCCAGCTCTGCTAGACTCAGGTCTGTGCCAGTACCCCTTCCAGGACAAGGCAGCTCACCCCAGGCTCGTCATCCATTCCAGTCTCAGCAGGGGTGACCGTGCCGGTCTGGGGGGACACAGCTCATCACAGTGGGCCGGCCAAGAACAGCCTACTGGAGGTCCACATCCGGTTCCTCCTGGCCGCTGGAGGCTGCCCGTCAGCTGCTAGGAAACTCCGAAGCCCTCTCGCGAGCCCGGCCCCGTTCTGTGGCGCTCAGCCCTTCGCGTTGGTTTTGTCACCCAGAACCGTCACAGCCACGCAGCAGGGTCAGCTGGGTCCTGTCACAGTCAGCCTGGCCCGGACGAGCCTGCTCCCCGCAGGGCACACGCGTGCAGGGCGTGCTGCCGACTTGGCGTTGTGGCTGCCGCGCAGTACCAGGTGCCAGCCACACAGCGGTCAGTGCCCGACCTCCGGGCAGCTCGCTCCGGCAGGCGCAGCTCCCTCCTGGCCGTCCACGGTGCTGCGTTCTGCACCTCGTTTTCTTAACAAGTCTCTTCTAAAGTTCTGCTCACGTATGTGCCCGTCTTTAAAACGTGGTTTTTACCGTCTCTTAAACTATCTTCACCTTTGTCGTGCTTATTACTGTAATATAGCAGCATAGTTCTCCTCCTTAAAAAGTACTTCTGAGAGAGAGCAATTGAAGCAAAGGAAAAAGGAGAGAAAAAGAAACAGAAGAGGGCCCCAACAGGGCGCCTCCCGCAGGCAGCCCCTCCAGCAGCCTTCAGCAGCCGGGACCAAGGCCCAGTTTGCCCCCCCACCCCACTCCCCAGCCTGTGTTCCCGGGCTCCCGCCACCAGACCCTGCCCGCTGTGGGTAGCCGCGCACTGGGCCCCGCGGTCAGAGCCCTGCTGCCCGCTGCACCTGGCGCCATGGTGCTGGCAGGCCCGGTACTCGGGGAGGCGGCGCACGTGGGCCATCCCAGGACCACCCGTCGGGTTCATGTCTAGGGTGCACCCCCAACGCTTCCATCCCTCTGCACCGTCATTCCTTCCTAAAGTCGCTGGTGGTTCTGTGCCGTGAGCCACGTGGGGAGGGGGCAGCTGGGTGTGCGGAGACTGCGACGCGGCTGCTCTGTCCTCAGCACCACCAGCTCCACGGCCAGCAGCTGCGACACGGAGTTCACAAAGGAGGACGAGCAGAGGCTGAAGGACTACATCCGGCAGCTCAGGAACGACAGGGCCGCCGTCAAGCTGACCACGCTGGAGCTGGAGAGCGTCCACATCGACCCGCTCAGCTGCGACGTCAAGCCGCGGGGGGACAGCCAGCGGCTGGACCTGGAGAATGCGGTGCTCATGCAGGAGCTGATGGCCATGAAGGTGTGTGCAAGGGCCTCCCCGTGGGCTGTGGGCAGCTGTGGGGCCTCGAGGGGGACAGAGCAGGAGGAACCGCAGCCGCCCCCAGAGGAGAGTCGCGCCTCCAGATGGGGCCGGCAGGTCTGCGCGCCACCCGCGGC